GTTATAAAACTGGGAAAAGGCAATCAATAAACAAATGTAGTGATAGTTGGCACTGGAGAACATCCCATTTGATACTTCCATAAATTTTCAAATGGTTAAACACAGAATCATCTGGAGAGTCATTCACTTAAGCACATTTGTTTTGAGATTAGTTTCTCTTATGTATAACGTCTCTACACAACAACAGCGACAACAAACAAGAAAAATCTAACTCTTCAATTTTCAAAGGATTCTCTGATGTAGAGTCATAGGTCCATATCAGTAAGAATTTTGCATTACTCTGTTAAATTTATCCAACAATTTAATTTTACCAGGAAATAATCATCAGTTCACTCTGTCAGTAATGCATTCCACAGTTATATAATGAATTCCAGCAACACACAAGGAAACAAACTGGGAGCTGAGGGTCCAAGGATGCACGGGGAATATTCTACTGTTATGTTGGGTCATCCTTAGCATTCTTTTTAATTAGTCTTATAATTTTTAGATTTGAACACACTTTTGACCAGTACAGTTATCCATCATTCTTTTTTACACATGATTACTGGTACAAAGGGACAGTGGTAAAAATAATTAACATAACAATGATTTTGTAATTTTTTAATTTTCCTCAAGAAAAAATACCTTATTAATTTAAGTATCCCTACCCTATAGTCAAATTTTAGCGTATATTCAAGGCAAGATTGGCTATGCTAAAAATGAAGTAGGAGCTGGGCTATACATTGAATCTTGTCCTTGACTATAGTATTAATTTAGAAGTTACTGGAACTATGCTAGGCAGACAGCTACTTTGCACAAATTTTGGTCGTCTGCATCATTACTGAGAGTTCAAGGTGAAATGCAATGCTTAAAGAAAGGGAGTAAAGTAGGATGGGGATAGGGTGCAAATATTTAGGCAGGCAAAGAGTACCAAGCCTAGACTACTACAGGAAAATAACCGACAGAGTCAGGTGATAGGAAACTTCACATTCTATCTAGTTGTATCCAGTTTATAGATACAAAAGTATTTTATAGGTTAGGATGGGGTAAAAATTGAGAAGCCAAGCATGAATATCGGTAAATTTGACCAGACATTAGGTTCTTACAGGGATATGTTTAATACTGAGCCTTGTCATATTGTCAGGAACTACATAAAAGCAGAAATTAGGGTAAAAATAGGCCTTCCACAAGATTGGGGTGGGAAGTGAGTGAGATCAGACTGCTCAGATAAAGCAGATACCCCAATTACTCTTTGGAGAAAGAACTTCACTGAAGGGTGCCAACCCTGAGACGATCTGAATATTAGAATTCTTTGTGTTTATCCTGTTCATAAATGAGTTTCTTTACCTTTTATTATGCAGTAGTAGATAACATAAAAATTATTTTTGAAAGATAAAATTTTCCTATAGCATGCACTTAATTCTCTATTCAAAAAAACTCAATAAGTTGGCCCCTAAAATTCCAAACATATATATATATATATATATATATATATATTTGTTTCACTTTTGTAATGAAAAATTGTTCCACTTGATTTATAACACAGAAAATTTTTACAATCTACACGTGTACCCTGAGAGTCGATCGTAATTTTGCAGTTTAAATTAACCAGAGATTGTTTTTCAACTGTTTGATAGAATTTCCATGTCATTGGGGCTTCACTGTTTATGTCTGTACTATCAGTTAGACATAGACCATATGGAGAATTTTTTAAATTGATTTGCTGTCACTAGGAGTCTGGCTTAAATTCAACATGGTTCTAAAAGTCTTTCATTTCCTGTCAACTCCTTCCTCCCAGTTTCCCCCTACATTGCCACCTTCTTTGTAATTCTCTCTAATAAGGGAAAGAAAGCCCAGGGCCAGCAGAAGGACAGGTTATTTCAGGTGCCCTTTTGTCTCCTAGCAAGCAGTGCTATGAATCACATCTTCTGCAGAGAGACACACTGCTCAAGTGTCTCTCTGTAAAAAATAAGTCTAGTTTCCCTTTGACAGAGAGGACTTAAATTGCATATGGTCCTTTGGGATCTGAGTTCCAAGGTCATTTCAGAGTGGTTACATTATCACATCAAGGTAAAGACAGTCTTGTGCAACAAAAAATAAAGTATTCGCTAGTAGGAAGGCTCTAATTCCCTTAGAAAATGAGAAATTAAGAAAGAAAGAAAGAAAAAAATAACTAACTGCAGTGACCCTGAGCTGGAAACTCCAGCTGACAAGCTTTTGAAGTAGATTAACCACATATCTGAAAATGTCACGAGTTTTGCTTTTCCTCAATTGAGAGTAATGTCAAGGGGCTAATCAAACAAGTTGTAGTAGAGAAATCGAGGATATTAGTCTGGAGTATCATTTGTAATGTCGTAAACATTCAGAATACAATGTCTCTCTAGTGTGTTCATGAATCATTTAAAGGGATAGAATGACTGTTCTTTGATAAAAATGCCAGGCTATTTAGTCAGCATCAGTGCTCTGCTCTCAGCAGTTTCGTGTTAGTTAAGAAGAGGTTTAACAGCAACAAAAAGCCAAAATAGCATGCAGCATAAACAAGATAAAAATTTATTTTTCCCCTATATATGCATTCAGTACTGGTACAGCGATTCGTGCTGCCATGGCACAGCTGTCTTTGAAGCATTTTGCTTCAGAATGCATTGCTTCTAACCAAAGGTCCAAGATGGACTTTTGATAAACCAGGCAAAAAAGTGATGGAGAAAATGCAGAAGTCCCACAAATCCCATTGATACTCTGTTAACAATTCATAATCCAGTATATTACCACACTATCGAGCTGGACAATATGTCTTGGTGGCCGCATCACCAGCCAAAATATATGTCGTTGTAAAACAAGAATGAGAGAGAGATTTAAATAAAACATGAAGTTGGTGTATTTACTCTATTTCTGAAAATCTTCATGCAATATTAATACTCCTAATGCAATATAATACCATGGAATTCTTTTATATGTTATCATACAGAGTATGTATGCCATATAGTTTGTGGTTTGAATATAGCAAAGGGATTTTAGTTTCTGTGACATTGAATTTTATTAATTGTGATATTCTACTACTAGAATTTAGCTTTTAAAGCTTAATTCACTCAACAATTATTAAATACAATCAGAACCAATTCAATTAACAGTAAACAGATAAGAGTATAGATTTTATATTTCAATAAACCTAAAGTTAACATTTCCTGTATTATTCTTTATACTGCATATTCAAAAATATTTTGGAGGGCAGGCAATGTAGCTCAGTGGCGTGTTGCCTGCCTGGCAAGCGCAAGGTCCTGAATTTGATCCCTGATTAAAAAAAAAAAAAATATATATATATATATATATATATATATATATATATATGTTTTTTCAATTTCAAACTTTTATGTTTCCTTTTTGCTACATACATAAAACAAATTTATGAATGGAACTTTGTTTCTTTTTTAATTAATATTGTTCTAAATATGTTCTTTACTTTTAAACTTCAAGAAACATAACACTACTATCTTCATGAATTTTAGTAACATTTCCTATGTACCTATCTATTCCTTCTATTAGTGTCAAGCAGGAAGACAGCTATTTTTATAGGTAACCCTAAAAACCCGTATGATTTCAATCAGCTCTTTAATAGTCAATCATTTCCAAAGTTAATTTTTGCTTTGCACACCGGTGTGCAACTGTAGTTCCAGTTACATGAAGGCTGAGCCAGGAGAATACCTTGAGCTCAGGAGTTCAAAGCCAGGTTGCCTCTGAGATTCTGTTTCCCAAACCAACAAAGCTATCACCACTCAAAAAATTGAGATTGATTTGTTACATATCCTCTAATCACTCCTTGCTAAAGGGTACTCGGCACAAGTATTTGAAAATGTACTTTATTTCTTGTCAAACTGAGATTACAGATCCATGCTTATACACAACAATATCTGTCTGTGCATTAATTCACAGGTTTGCAGAAAAGTATATTTCAGTCTATTTTTAAATACTCGAGTCTGACCAGCTTAAGTGAAATTTAACAAATTTCTGAATTCCATTACTTCTAAGAACTGTTTTGTTTTTCTGAAATGTGGTCTTTCCTGTGTTGCACAGGAAAAACTCAAAATTTCTGGTTTCAAACCAGGCTTCTGCCTCAGTCTCCAGAGTGGGTGAGACCACACTGAACCCGATGCTTTCAAGAACTTCTGACACATTACTATTCATTGCTCCTTCGTACAGGGAGCGTGATATGAAATAAATTTGAACACAATTATTCTTCTCTGAAACAAATAATTTTATAGAAAAAGAATTCTTTGGAACATTTCAGGCAATAGTGAAAATTGCTAACTGATATATAGGTGTTTGCTTTGTACACTTATTAAAACAAATCGCATATTTAGTATATAATCTGGATCATAAACTATCTGAAAGAAGAGTCCACATAAGAGAGGGTAGGTATCTATGCTGGTCAGATCAAGGTAAGCATATGTCTGAAATATTGATTATTTCTCTTTGGTGAATGTTTTCAAAATAGTTTGTTTTAACTTTTTGAAATATGTAGCACACTGTACATTTAAATATCAAAGCAAAATGAAAACACAAAGCAGTAACAATATGAACTGTAAATGAAATAATAAAGTACTTAAACTTTAATAATAAAGTACCTTAAATACAGTACCAGATCTGATTTATCTAACAACCAGTTCCTTTAACTAACTTTATCAACTGTTTCCTCTGTGTGGAAAATCATGTATCTGTGGGTTTTTCCCCCATTTCACTAGTTAAATCAAAAGCAAATTCCTAAAATGTAATCCTCGTACTTCTAAAGTTTACCATGTAACATTAATGATGCTTGGTGCTGCCAACACAAAGTAAGAACATCATTCACTTGAAGTTCACATTGTAGAATTGAATTAAACATTTTTTTTTACACTAGGTTATCAGAATTTATGTTTTTGCTTTGTTTTCTGAGGTAGACTGACACTGTGCAGAACCAACCTTAATTTCTCTTGCCTCATCTTCCCAGTTCTGGGATCACAGACTTGTACCACTGCACACAGTAGAAACATTCCTTCTTATATATATATCAAAACGCACACTGAACAAAGAGTTCTGAGTTGTAGAAGAAGTTTTGGTTTTTGTACCTGTTCAATAAGTTTTTAGTTCACCAAGTTCAGACAAAAACATGCACAAATGCCACTGACTTAAACATTTATGTGCAAAAAATAGGCATCTCATGATACCAGAACTCTAACTCCCTTTACAAAACCAAGTCTGTTTTAAGTTGTTGCACAGAACAGGTTCTATTTATATTTAAACCAGGGAATTCTGAGTGTATTATTCTAAGTGACTAGACATTTCAAAAAGCAGATACTCTGAATTCTGGTTTCCTAAGTAACATTGGAGTAGCAAGAAGACTGAATTTTTCTTAAAGATGCACTGAAAAGTAAAATTATGGAACGTTTCAAATGCTAGACATGTTTAAATGTTGTGATGCAAAACTTATGCATAATTTATAAGCTTTACTTCTGATATTCAAAAGTCTATCTATAGTCCCAAATATTTCAGTTTTTAAGTTAGCAACTAAAAAATTAATAACTTCTTAATGAACTTGATAAATAAGGAAGGGGAAAAAGTGAATCCAAAGAACCAAGAAAGAAGAAATGAATGGTTAATAAGCTATGTTAATTAATAAGTGAAAATGGATTTAATTTAGAAAACAGAAAAAGGCCAGAGTGGTAAAATATATGTGACACTTGTAAATTTACATGTGTAAGCAAAGGGAAAAACAAAGCAGTAGCAATAAGAACTATAAATGAAATAATAGAATACTTAGCATCTTAGTTTAACTTATAAGAATTTGTCTTTAACAGTCAAAGTAGAAATTCTGTAAATAGAAAAAACCCAAATATCAGAAGGGTTGAAGCTGGCATTATCAAGGTTCCATGGAATTTGGATCCAGCTTCTGGGATAAGCATGTCTGGTTCCAGAACTTAGCTTTACGATTGATTCTTCAAAACAAGGCAAATGTGGGAACTTTTTTATTTTTGTTTCTGTTTGAGACAGAATCTTGCTGTCAGGCTGGTCTTGAATTTATTCTGTGACTCAAGCTGGTTTCCAGTTTACAAAAATGATTCTGTTACATCCTTCTGAATGCTAGAATTACAAATCTGTGTCATTATATCTGGCAAGAACTGGAAATTTTCTTATCAATAAAATGGTGACAGCAATATAATCTAATTAGTAATGTTTCAGTAAAAGTTAAGTAAGAATATTTATAAGGTACCTACTGTAATTTAAGGACTATAAAGTGTGTATTTGCTGTATCTAAAATGATAAGCACTTATCTTATTTTGTCTATTTATAGAAACCTTCCCCATTATTACCTAATGCAATAAAAAAGAGTACAGAGGCAACAAAAGGGTGTTTTAAAAAATACATCTACAACTATGAAAAATATTCCAAATGTTCAGGTGTAGGACATTTTAAAACCTCAGTTATAAACAGAAAAATATTCCATATAAATCACTCAAATCATTATAATCCAACAAAATCTCATTAAGATATATATTGATTGCATGTATATATATATCTATCTTATATGTATCTGTTTTATGAATGTGTATTTATATATCTATATCTATATCTATATCTATATATATATATAGATAGATAGATAGATAGATAGATATATGTATAACTATATGTATATCAAAACTCCATAAGAAACTTCCACTGCAACACAGTATTGTTTTTGCAGTAGGATAATATGAATTGCAATGATTTTACAAAAGTTAATCTACCATTCAGGAAATATGTTTCCCTCTAAATTAAGTATCTAAATAAAAAGAACACTTTGAATCTACTCTTCATTCTTAGTCACATTATATTTTAATAGAAAAATATATTAATGATAATATTCACCAAAGATTAAATGCCATTAGTTTTTACAATTTTTGGTTATTTGGAATTGTTTCTTAAATATAAAAGATAAACACAAGTACTATTAATGAGTCATGAGAAAGTAATTTGTCTTTGAAAATTAGAATTACTTTTCCCAAAAGTTGGACATCTAAACGTGGAAAACACTATAGTTACTTCCATCAGAAAATGGCAAATCAGCACCAAAATTTCTTAAATTCTAGAAAAATATTAAAATGTTAAAAAAGATAACAGAATTTCTAATTTTTAATAATGGCTTTAAAATGAGTAAGAGTTTGATTACAAAGATCCAATATTATAAAAGTGAAAATGTCTGTTAACAGACATCTGTTAAGATTTTGCTTGCCATAACTCACTAAACAATGAAGAAGATATAATTGTTCCTCTCAACCATAAGAGGGAAAACATAGACAATAATACACAAATACACAAACATGCAATATAGACCTTCTGCAATTTAGTGTTCCGAACAGTTAATTTATAATTATCTATATAGTTTCATGAATTAACTTACAGATTGACATACTCTTTTGAGTCGCTGAATTGTTTAAAATAGTTATTCTGTCTTATGTACTTAACAGTATCAGGTTATATATAAGGGGAATGGGAATACTGCTGTTCTGTGTAATTTAGTTTACTATAAAAATTTTGTTTTTAATTGACACATAATACCTAGAGTGTGTGCTGTTTGAGATACAGGCCTAGAGTGTGTGCTGTTCGACATACATGCATTCTATGAAATAATCACATCAGTTTAGCATATTGATCATCTCATATTTATAATTTCTTTGTGGAAAAAGTGTTTAAAAACCCTCTATTCTATGTATTTTCAATATTGAATACAACAACATTATCAGTCATAGCATAATGGAACACCAGAAATTTTTCCTTCTTTGAACCTGTAAATTTGAACCCATTCCTTTTAAAAATTATAATGCACCTGTTGTACATAGTGTTTACATCCCTGTGGGAGATTGGTAGGTGTACACAGTCCTGCCTAATGTCTTTTTCATTCCTTCCCTCATTCCACCTTCTCATCTCATCTGTTAACTCCCGTCTCTTTGAGAAAGATCTGTCTCTGTCCTTCCCTTTATTGATTTTTTGACATCTATCCACCCTGTCATCTGGTAATAAGTATTGTACAATCTACTTGTTCAAGATCAACGTTTTAAAATTTCACATATGAGTTGTATAATGAAGTATTTGGCTTTCTGTGCCTAGATAATTTAACCATGTCTTTCAGTTTCATCTGTATTGCCACAAAGGCAACATTTTATTATATTTTATGTTAAAATGCTATCCCACTTATCTATTTACATCCATACCACATCTTGGCTATTTTCAATAAAATAAAATATCCCTAAACAACTTCTGATAACAATGTATCAAAGATAATAAACCATATGGCTATTATTTAGATCTCCTTTGTGCAAAAATTGTGAAGTCATGTACATGACAACTTTTATTTGTTATCAGAATTAATAGGGAATACTATATTTTAAAACAAAAGCAGGGAAGATGGATCGAGATTCTGATCAATACTAGAATTAGCTCCAGAAGTAATCACCTTTGTGCCCATAAGAAAATCTGCTCTCTGGTTCAATGGGAAAGTATGGCAATGTTAATGAAAAGGTCAATTTAATTATCCTTTTTCTCCCAAGAATTGCCTTGTACACTCTGTTGATATGAACAAATAAAGAAAAAGAAAGTCAGTTATGTAATGGAGACTATATCAGTACTATTTTGCTTTGTTTTGTTTCCCACTAGGGGATATGATCCCCTAAAATTAAGAATAAATGCTACAAAGGCACTCTTGGCTCCGCAACATCGCACACAAAGCTTACAAGCCTTATTAAGCACTAAGGAGTGTGTAAGGTGTTTTTGACAATTGCTACTTACATAGCAAATAAATGATTAGTTTAGAAAGATAGAAAGTTCCTGATGTAATTAGGTTGATGGCTGAAGCAATTATAGGAAATTAAGTGTATAATTTATAAAATTCTAAAAGCTAAATTTTATCAGCTACAGAAGAAAAACTGATACCACATCACTTCCTTCCTTCCTTCCTTCCTTCCTTCCTTCCTTCCTTCCTTCCTTCCTTTCCTCTTTCCCACTTTTTCTTTCTTTTTCTTTCTTTCTTTCTTTCTTTCTTTCTTTCTTTCTTTCTTTCTTTCTTTCTTTCTTCCTTTCTTTCTTTCTTTCTTTCTTTCTTTCTTTCTTTCTTATTTCTTCTTTCTTTCTTATTTCTTCTTTCTTTCTTCTTTTCTTTCTTTTTGAGAGAGGCTCTCAACTGTGTACTTCAGACTGGCCATAAATCCTTACATAGCCCAGGCTGGCCTCAAACTTAACCTTGATCCTCCTGCCTCAACCTCCCCATGTTTGGAGGTTACAGGCATGTACCACCACACCCAGGTAATCAAAGTAATTCTAAAATTTACTATATTTCTTGAAATCTTTTTATAACTAATTTGATATGCTTTGATTTTATTTATTCAACCCAGAGAATGAAACTCAAGAAAAGGGTTAATAATTATCAGATCATTATATTTTGGTACATATAGGGAAAAATCAAATATCAAGATTTCTCAATAAAACTAACCACTCTTCTATTTGTCTTTATTCTAAGTAGAAGAAAAACAAACATAATAAACAGCATGCAAATAACATGAAAGAAATGATATATACCTTATATTTCTCTTATTTTGTTCAATGTCATATGATTCTAAGTTACTAAATAAGTTAAAGGGCACTTAGTCTTGATTAAAACACTTTTATGTCCATCTGTATTTGATGAATGGCCAGTTATTTGGGTTGGTCAGGTAGTAGTGAGTATGTCTAAATGAAAATGAGTTTCTTTTTTAAATATAGTTTTATATGAATATATGTATAAAGTTACCCTTGTTAAAGTTAATTGAATATATTTGATAAATTCTGAAACTTATGTAAATACTGTATATGTCCTTCAGTCAACATTATAAGTTTAAATTATCATTTAATTGGTGTGGCAGATGTATGTCATTAACCCATTTTTCCTGGAAATAGAATTCTGGATCTAAGAATTGTGATAGAAACTAGAACTACTGCTGATTTAGAGGACTTACTCCTGTGGTTATGAGAAATTGGGGCTATTTAAAATGTCATTAAGAGCTCTGTGTATTGTAAGTATGGAGTTGTTTGTATCTGAATAGGAAGGAAATTATTCAACAATTGTGCATTAGTAATTCTGCATAAAAACGATGCAATTGAAACATGATAA